CCGGGCCGCACCCCGCCGCCGGGGCCGCCCGGACCCCCGCCTGCTTGCCCCGGGGACAAAGCACCGAACTGCGGGGGCCTGTACTGGGCCCAAGGAAACCAACTCTGAGGGGCGCCCGGTGCGTGAAATTAGACAGGAATACGGGCGAGGTTTATATTACTGTATTTAGACCGTCAATAACTTAAAAATACAGCGAAAATGTACATTATTTTTACATGTTCCATTTGGTTTGTACTTGTTAGACATTCTCTTTGTGTCTAAACTAGCCAGGAAGGGACAGTGCAAAGAGACCGGCGGTGGGACGAAACGCTAATCGCTGGGACAGGTCTGGCGGTGGAAAGCGCATACTGACAAACAGATGCGGCACAAAACCAACAGCGGCAAATCTATTCCTTACTGCAACCTGGGGAAAAGAACCCGGGATCTTACAAAAGTACAGTTAGAAATAGTAACCCTGAGGAACAAAACAAAACGTCACATTATAAAGAACCCAAATGGTTATTTACATTCACAACCTCAAGATTAAACCCTTTTGGAGAACAAAGCCTATAAGCCCTAATGCTAAATAAATATCAAGTCTAGTTCTCAGGTAGTTTTCAAAGGTACTAAAAATCAGAAGATTTCTTCATACCTCCAGACTATAAAATCTGGTATACAAAATTATGTCCAATCACTTTAAGGCTAATATACATTTAATGCAGGAAAACGATAGGCGGCATCTGAAACGCAAGTATCTCAATGCTTAAAAAAACCTATTAAATTAGGATTAATCCAGAAAACAGCAACTAAGGGATCATTTCTCAAATAATTCTTACCCAGAGCAGAATTTTGGACACCATGTCTGCAGATATTTAAATAATGTATTTACAGTTCAGTTGTTCCATGTACAATACGAGTGAGCTGGTTTTTATTGTACAGTCTCATTTTTCACCATTTGTTTACAATATACAAAATAGTATTCGATCCATTAAAAATACGTACAAAGAATTGTTTGCTGAAGACTCTGTGTACAAGCCATCTACTGCATTTTTCCTTTACTCGGCCAAACAAACATCCTAACTGATATCGCTGTTTGCTTAGTAGAAACAGTGGCTAAGAAATACCTCTTGGCATGATGAGACAGGTGATGATTTAGCAGGCCTATGTGTGCTGGGACATACCATTCACTAAACTCCTAAGTTGCTTTACTACAGTCTCTATTAGCTTCTGCTTGTCACGATCGTTCTTCCTGAACTGAGCAAAAATGTTGTTCTTTTTGCTAGAGTCTTTCATTCTGGAGAAATAAAAAAGCAAATGACACAGACATGTTAGAAACATAATTCGAAAAGGAAAAATCTGACTTTTTAAATAGGTTTACTTCTGTTCCTTTTTGGATCTTGCTGCTAATAAGAACTGAAAGATTACAAAACCTGTTATCCATGTGTTCTTAAATTAAACTTCCTCAACGCGGAACTCGTTTTGACAAATAGTGCTTCACGAATCGCCCGCGAGCGCTAAGCAAATCCCGCTTCGGCAGGCAACTGGCCCTGCCAATTGCGGGAGGAGAGAAGCAAACCAGAAAACCCGTCAGTGTCACCCGGGTGAGCCCAGACGCAGCAAACGGGCGTGTTTTGGTCATCGTCAGATTACCCGAGATCATGATTGCCGATCTCCCCTATCAATGGGTTTAAAAACGAAAATTCGGGAAATAAAAGAAATCGAAGCAAGAGTATTTTGTAACAACACAGGCGGTACGTACCCTCTGTGGACTCTGCAGAACGCACATTCGTGGCGGGCGGGAGAGGAGAGACAACACCGTTAGAAAACGCCTTTACGCCGCGGTGCGGCTCGCTGCAGCGTTTAAGAGCAGGGGGACACTCGGCCGGCGGCAACGCGCCCTCCCCACGGCGAAACCCCACACGCGTTCCCCTTCCCGAAGGCGGCACTGCGGGCGGCCGCAGGCTCCGGCTC